AGTGCATCAAGATGAAAACAGTGCTGCACTGTCAAAGATTTTGTACTGAGGTTGTGCCACAATGTCCGAGGGTCAGTAATAGCAGTGCTCTGCATTGTCAGAGCGTCAGTGCTGAGGAAGTGCTAGAATATCAGATGGCCACGAATGAAGGAGTGGTGTACTGTCAGAGGTCAATACTGAGGCAGCACTCCACAGCTAGAGGGTCAGAAATGAAGCAGTACTGCACTGTCAGTGGATTAGGGCTCTGGGAGTGCTGCACTGTAAAAGGTCAGCACTGAGAGAGTGCTGCATTGTCAGAGGTCAGTACTGAGGAAGTGCTGCAATGTCAGAGCTGAATACTGAGGTGTGTTACACTGTCAGAGTATCAGTGCTCAAGAATTGCGTCACAATCAGGGGTAAATATTAAGGGAGAGCCGTTCAATCAGAGGGTCAGTGCGGAAGGAGTGGTGCACTGTCAGATGGTCAGTACTGTAAGAGTGCTGCAATTTCAGAGGGTTAATGCTGAGGGTGTGCCACAACGTCTGAGGGTCAGTAATGGGAGAGCTCTGTATTGTCAGAAAGTCAGTGTTGAGGAAGTGCTGCAATATCAGAGGTTCAAGACTGACGGAGTGCTTCACTGGCGGGATGTCAGTAAAGAGGGCCTGCTTGACTCTCAAATGGTTTGCAACACGGGAGCACTGCACCAACAAATTTTCAGTGCTGTGGGAGTGCAGCACTGTTAAAGGTGCAGTGTTGAAGATGTGCTGAACTGTCAAAGTCAATTCTGAGGTCGTGCTGCGCTGTCAAATGATCAGTACTGGGGCAGTGATGCACTGTCAGCTCGTCAGTACTGTAGGAGTGCTGCACTGTCAAAGTGCTAATATTTAAGCAGTGCCGCATTGTCAGGGGGTCAGCGCTGAGGGTTTGCCAAACTGTCAGAGGGTCAGTACTGAAGCATTGCTGCGCTGTCAGAGTCTGTACTGAGGAACTGCTGAACTGTCAGAAGGTCAATTCTGTGGGAGTGCTGCACTGTCAGACGGTTCGCACTGAGGGAGTACTGCACTGCTAATGCTTGTTCTGAAGGACCGCTTCATTGTCAGAGAGTGAGTGCTGAGGAATTGTTCCAATGTCGGCGGTTCAGTTTTGCGTGATTCACTATCAGATAGTGAGTACCAAATGAGTGCTTTCATGTCAAAGGTCAGTACTGAAGGAGCGCTGCACTGTCAGAGGCCCGGTACTGAGGGAGTGCTGCACTGTCACTGGGTCCATACTGAAACAATGATGCACTGTCAGAGGGTCAGTGCTGAGAGATTTATGCAGTATTTTTTAATGTCAGTACTGAGGATGCGTTGCACTATCCGTGGATCTGTTCTGGGAGTGTGTTACACTGAAAATTGTTCAGTACTGAGGGACTGCCACATTGTCAGCAGGGCAGTGTTAAGTGAGTGTTGCATTGTCAGACAGCTGGTACTGAGGGAGTGCTGCCTTGTCAGAATCTCAGTCCTGAGGGAATTATGCACTGTCAGAGAGTCAGTACTGAAGAAGTGCTATGCTCTTTGAGGTGTCTTCTTTTGCTTGAAATATCAAAGAAAGTTGCCCTCTGCCTGATCAGGTCAATATAAATGTTCCTTGGACAGTATTTTAAAGAACATAAGGTCTTGTTTCATTTGTGCACTGGCCCATATTTATTTCTTAATCAACATCAAGCTAAATCCATCTGATCTTCTTACATTTCCCTGAAATGATATTCTAGCTCACTGAGTAACTGTACACGTCTACAAACTGATATAGTACATGACAGAGCAGGATGTAACTTCATTTTTTGTGGAATGAGTGAGTGTTAGACTGTTTGACAGAAGTATGCAGAAAGTGAAAATAGAATGCAGATAAAGCATGAGGAAGGATGCAAGAGGATTATAACAGGGAATACTGTTTAATGTACAAAGGTATCACCAGCATCCCAGACGACTATTTTATTACTTATGTTGCTCCATGGAGACAGACAGCCAAACGAAATTAGCCTTTCTACCTCTGCAATCGCAACACAGTGAAATTTAAACATTGAAAGCCCCTCAAAATTGATCCCAACAGCTCCTAATCTCACTTTATCACTAAACAATGCCAGGCTTTGCAAATAATCAGTTTTCAACACCAGTTTATAGCTTAAACAAAAGACATAGTTTTTTTTCATAATACAATAACTTTCATGGAGCAAACTTAAACAACTCGGTTATCTAATTGTTCTATGCTTTAAACACAAAACCTTTGCTTTCATCCCCATTCACACAAAAAGCATGCACACAAGCACACACAGTTAGGGGATAAACAAAAGAACAAAACTGGTAAGAATACTGAAAAAATGTTTTCCAGATGCGCTGTTATACAGGCATAAAAGATGGTTTCTTGTTTAATTCTCTGAGGATGTCTATTAGGATAATGTTTTCAGTTCTTCCAGGTAAAGGTGATAAAATGTATGATTTAATTTTTCACTCGCTGAGCACAGAATAGAATCCCTACCGTGTGGAAACAGATCATTCAGCCCAACAAATCCACATCGCCCCGCTGAAGAGAATTCTGCCCAGACCCATTTCCCTACCCCTGAGTTCCCCATGTCTGACCCACCTACCCTCAACATCCCTGGGCACTATAGCATGGCCAATCCACCTAGCCTGCACATCTTTGGACTGTGGGAAGAAACCGGAGCAAACCCACGCAGGCACGGGGAGAATGTACAACCTCTACACAGACAGTCGCCCGAGGCTGGAATCAAACCCAGATCCCTGGCACTGTGAGGCAGCAGTGCTAACCACGCCACCCTATGACGGTGAGAGCTGATTCAGGAGTTTAAGCAGGGAGATTTCACTTTTTGTCACTTTGTAGCATCAACAGCTCGATTTATTTTTAAAAGAAACACAGTCCAAAAACCCAATTCAAAGTCTGACCATACCCTGCCAGACTGATCATCTGCTGCATGAGGTCCCCTTACCACGTAATATCTTCCATCTGCTCGAACGTACGGTCCCTTCCAGACTTGCTGACAGCAATTCCCAGGTACTGACCTCATGAATAATCAACTTCTGTTATCTATTTAAGTACAATGTTCTTCCCTAGTGGTTAATCTTCTGCTGAACGTTTTGATCAGGAACCAACGCGCAATTAACTTCCGGGCATGGACTCACGAATAAACACAGGCTTGTTTGGTCTACTTCCCTGATAACACAAGCTTTTACCCGCAGTCCAAAAGTCATCTTTAGTTCACAATTACAAGTACACAGTTCTGAATCAACATTGATTTTTTTTTTAATATGAAAACGAAAACATTGAGAAATCACCAAGCGTATGACTGAAAGATGACTGTTGGCGAGTTTTATTTACGGCTCACTGCGAATCAGGCATGGGGTATGATTGAGAAGTTCAGAATATTATAACATGACCACCTCCAACATATCAATAATATCATTGTTTTGAATGTAAGATTGAATTAAAATGGGTACATTTTAAGTGCCATTATAGAGATGTGGGTACAGGCTGAGCATGTTTCGCTACTGGATGCATTTTGGAGGGAAAGGAAAACGATCCCGGGTAGAAAAGACATCAATGTAAACCCAGTATTTCTTTTCAGAATTACTGTATGACCCTTTCTCCATTAATAGCAGTTGTTGATTATTTTCTTCCAGTTTCCAATCATGCTGAGAATTAGGCTACATAAATGTCAGTCAAAGTTCACATAGCCTTCCAAGAAATTTGCTCGACAGAGTTCAAATAAGATGTGGAACTATACAATTTGCACTCTCCATTGAAAAGCGAAAAGAAATGTCCTTATTTCCTTCTGCTGAAAATATAACAGGACTGTGTATCTAATGAGAGTAGTGGATTCAATTTTGAAATGATATGATACAGATTTTACAGCAGTAAAATCCCTTGATATGGAGTTTAAATGCAATGTTGAATGAATTACGACAGCTTTTTTGACGGTATAGTAAGTTTATAATTACTTACAGGCAGCCTCATAACTATCGAAGCACAAGTTATTACATTACAATTTCAAAATGAACTTTTTTTTACTTTTATTGGTATCTTGATATTTACCGTTCTGAGTATCTCCGATTTATCTGCTTTCCGTCTCTAAACTTTAACTTCAAAGCGCCAGCACTTGGTGTTTTTCACTTGCTGATTTGCTGCCTGTGAGAATACCTCAACGTGACTTGATGCCCATTCTACTTGGCAACAGCATCCCCATCGTGATGAAAAGCTCTTCCAACTTGAAATTGGGAGATCGAAAAGGCCTGCCACAGTGGTGGATCAACGAAACCTTCTGAGATGCTTTCTTCAACTACCTCCCTTTGCTGGGCCAGCATCATGACATGCCATTTCTTTAAATCTAAGGGGACAAGATGGGTTTGGGGAGCTTCTTAATCCTGCTGCCCTGACAGAACTGAAGCTAAGCTTGTTCTCTCCCTTTCAGATGTGAAAAGGTGAATCTCTCCTCTACATCTGCCTTTGACTGAAACCTGTTGGGTTTGGACTGTTGCTGCGTTCCTGCGGGAGGGATAACGCTTGCACACGTGTTCTTTTTCAAAACTACCCTTGGCGGACTGGGTATTCAATATTTACGTGAGTTTGTGAAAGCAAAGGAATGAAAATCATCTTAACTCATGATCATTTGCGCAGCAATTAATAATTAATTAAATTATTAATGATTAATTAATTACAAACTAATAGTTAATTGCTCTAAGAGACTTACGAGCTAATTCCTAATTTAAACCGAATCCTTCTGGTAAAGATGTTGAAGTTTATAAAAGCAGTTGGATTAACAATCCAGCGAAAATACCAGTAGGCCATCGCCTTCCCAGTTGAATTTTAAAAGGGCAGTTGGACCTGCATGCTCTTGCTGGTAGAAGTTTTATTGATAGTCGGCTGTTGTTGACTTCAACACGTCTGAAACTAGCTCCTAATCAATGTTCCTTTCTTTTCTTTCTGTTTGTGCCTCATCAGTGCTAAATGTACATCAGGGTGAACTGATGGAAAAAGCAACAGAAACGAATGAATCTCTCAGTAACCGAACAGCCTTGCTTGAAACTCAAAGAGCGAGTTTGTATAAAACGGCCGAAATAATCTTCATTGTGATTGTGACAGGATCTTTGAGCGTGATAACCCTCGTTGGGAACGTTCTGGTCATTATTTCCATCAAAATAAACAGGCAATTGCAAACTATTAACAATTACTTCATTTTTAGCTTAGCCTGTGCTGATGTTACGATTGGTGTAACTATGAATCTATTCACCATTTACGGTCTCCTTGGCTACTGGCCTCTGGGTTCAGTGGTATGTGATTTATGGCTTGCTGTCGATTACGTTGTCAGCAATGCCTCTTCCATGAATCTCCTGATCATCAGCTTTGATCGCTACTTCTGTGTGACCAAACCCCTTACCTACCCCGTGAGAAGGACAACAAAGGTTGCAGGGATGATGATCACAGCTGCTTGGGTGCTTTCATTTCTTGTATGGGCTCCTGCCATTCTCTTCTGGCAGTTCATTGTAGGGGAGCGGACAGTCACTGAGGGAGAGTGCTATATACAGTTCTTCTCCAATCCTGCTGTCACTTTCGGCACTTCAATAGCTGCCTTCTTTCTTCCCGTTACTGTTATGGTGGTTTTGTACGTGCACATATCACGTGCCAGCAAAAGTAGAATAAAGGAGAATAAAAAAGAGTCTGAATCTAGTAAGGAACCAGTTACTCCCAGTCTAGAGGTGGGCAAGATGCTGAAATCGACTCAGAGCAACATATCAAATGCTTCTGGTGGGCTGCCACAAGTGAAAATGCGAAATGACATAATAACTCATGAAATAATCATTGATCATTGTGGCGAGGGACAGGAAGTGTCCTTGAGTGAGTCAACTTCTTTCAGCACGATTCCATCAAACAAAAAGATGGAAGGCTGTATCTATGAAAAAGGAAACGTCTGCACTAAGATAGATAATTGCAAACTCTCTTATATTAAGATGGTTGATAAATCCCAAAGCATTAATGGCTATGGAAAAACACCAGGAATCGTTGTAGAAGTTAGAAGCAATAACGAGAAAGGCAGAGAGATCAGAGAATATCATAAAACGAGTAAAAAAATTCACACTACTTCTGAAAAGAGAAAAGTCTCTGTAAACCGAGAAAAGAAGGTGACTAGGACTATTCTGGCTATTCTCCTGGCATTTATCATCACTTGGAGCCCATACAATGTCATGGTGCTCATTAGCACGTTCTGTTCCACTTGTATTCCAAGCACAGTCTGGAATATCGGATACTGGATATTTTACATCAACAGTACCATCAACCCAGCCTGTTATGCACTCTGTAATGTTACTTTCAAGAAAACTTTCAAACATCTTCTCTTGTGCCAGTACAAGAGCATCGGTGCAACAACGTAAAAGAAAAGTAAAAAACAGTGCCTATCATGCATCCAATAACTCAAACAATGTACACCAACATTTTCACGTTATTCTATATTTGTCTCCCTGCGATAGTAATTATGTTGTGAGCGTTAAAAGAGTTCAGAAAAGATTTAAAAGAATGTTGCCAGGGTTGGAAGTTTTGTGCTGCAGGGAGAGGCTGAATAGACTGGGGATGTTTCCACTGAAGTGTCAGAGGCTGAGATGTGACCTGATAGAAGTGTACAAAATTACGAGGGACACAGATAAGCTGAATAGTCAAGATCTTTTCCCCAGGGTGGGGCAGACCAAAACTAGAAGGCATAGATTTAAGGTTAGAGGGGAAAGATGTAAAAGGGACTTAAGGGGCAATATTTTCATATAGAGGCTGGTGTGTACATAGAATGAGCTGCCAGAGGAAGTGACGGAGTTTAAGACAGCAACAACATTTAAAAGGCATCTAGATGGGTAAACGAATAGGAAGTGTTCAGATAGATATGGGCAAAATGCTGACAAATTAGTCTAGATTAATTTAGGACATCTGGTTGGCGTGGACGAGTTGGACTGAAGGGTCTGTTTCCGAGCTGTATATTCTGTGACACAAAATGTCATGAGTGCTCCATATAAAGTGATGATGGTGCCTTTGAATTATTTATCTAAAACTATGCGTGTGTGATGTATTTATTGTGTTAGATTAGACTCAGGTAGATATTATCACTTGTCATTTTGGAAGCAAACTTTAGTTTCATTAAATTAATTCGTAATGTCCGTTGTAAACACATGGTTTACTGATGACTTGTGACTTAAATGGGAGGTGAATTTGTCCAGTATCTAAGTTGAGTAAATATTTCAATTAAACATAGTTTGTAAGGTTTGTTCACTATTTCCAACATTATCCAATAAAAAAAAGTTAACGAGTAGCTGAATTCTCATATAAAGTGAACAGGGTAGGGTGGGCAGAAATTTGCACAGTTGAACAAATGATGCATTTATATAAGGTTGTAGCCAAATGCACTATGTTGTCTTCGTGTTTAAAAATAAAGAACATTCCTCACTGCTGAATGACTAACAGCCAAGGACCAACGTTTAGGAGAGCACCAAGCACAAAATCATTTAATGTACTTCTCTAAATAATGCAATACCTGTCATGCTACCAGCGTGCCTAGCATTTAATTAGGTCCACTTCGGTTGATTAGGTACTTGTTTATTCATTGTTGTGAAAATAAAAAGTTTCCAGAAATAGAACACTTCTGTTTTTAAGCCACGGATGTTTCACCTGAAGACCTAAGAACTCACAGTCGTGTAACTCAAGCTGATACCAATGCAACAAATTCATGCATCTCAGCAGTTTATGACCTGTGTCAGCATTGACTACGAATTAGTAAGAATATAGCCGTGACTTCAGTGTTGGCGGTCTTTTCCACCCCACATTTACTCATTTTGAGAGCTTGCCTCCCCCGAATTCCATCCCCTATTCATTTTCTGTGCAACTGGGCTCAGTGTCATCCCTGACATCTGCAGGAGCACTAGGTCAAAGATTAATCTTTCAGACTTTGCCAGCTATGCTCTCCATTTTTGCGGTTTCTGCGACCTGGAAAGATCAAATCAAAACAATGCAGATTGACTAACACAGTCAGAGGATCAGCACTGTGTACCCTTTCATTTGAAAACACCTTTCTTGGACACAATGGGTGCATCATTGCTCGCACAATTTCACGTTCGTCAGGTGAGGCGAAAACCTTTAGGAACGATCAGAAGCCAGACTCCAAATCAGTGACGTGGAGTCATGATCCAGAAAAATGAACCTGGTGTTCTAGTATCCGAAAGGGATGAGTCCTCCTCAGCTATCAGATGCTGAATTGCCAAGTGAACGTGTCAACCTCTCAACTGACTCGCATTTTCCAAATATTCCTCTGCATATTTCAGGTTAAGCTGGTGTGTTTTCCTCCAACTTCAGCCTCTCCTTCACCAGAGGAAGTGCACATCAGCATCACGAATCATCAATGCACCAAATCATGGTGCAGACTCGGTATTTCACTCCTCATTGGCCCCCAGGGAGCAATTTGAATCTGTTTTATGCATTTAATGTAGTCCTAAAGCACTAAGCAGGGACAATTGCTAACAGATTGCTTGGCAACATTGAGCAATGGGGAAAATGACATTGGTCCCATGTAAGGAGACGAAGAGTTGTGAGAGGGAGTTTGAAGTTGGATGCACTTTATACTGGACTCTGTTAAGGCCAGGTGAGGTGGGCAAATTATGCAAGAAAAGACTATGTGGCTCGCAATCACAAGAAGTAGTTTTGTTATCTTCCATCAAAAGCCAAAAACACAGGCAGCAAAATATAGAAAGACCAACACTATCAGGACATTCATATCCGCCCATACAATAAGAAATCATATCAGTCTGCAAATGGGCTCCGCAGTCACACTCAAACACACCATAACGAACTCTTCACACATATGAACCAGCCAAAATACTCGCTATTGTATCCTTTTCTTTAATTAACAGAGCTACCCCGCTACCATTTTCAAGCTTCTTGCCAATCCTGAATACCACTGATACAGATATTCAAGTCCAAAATTTCATTTTTTTTTTGCCATACCTATGTAATGACTACCAGGTTACGCTTACGAATTTCTATTTGTGTTGACAATTAATGTCATTATTGCAAGTTTTGCTGGAAATCAGACACGGATTCCTTAATTCAGTTATGTTTTACTGTCTCTATGAACTTTTGCCCTATCTGTTGACATAAATTTCAGTTTTCAATCGTTGCATTCCCTGCTGTATTCTGACTATTATTTCACTGTTACCTTGATCCATTGCCTTTTCCTCTCCCTTTAGCTTACTGAATTGTACCAATGTGATCACTTATTCTTTGTAAGTAGTAGAAAGGTTTTGTGTCTCCCCATTTCATTAATTATTCAGAAGAATGATTCCAGCACAATTTCGTTGAAACCCATCTCAATAACACAGCCTTATTTTCTCCAGTACTATTTCTAAAGCATCACAAACTAGAAATCAGTACTCCCATACCTGCCCATGAGCCATATATTAATAGCTCTAAACTTATTTATCAAATGCTAATTTCTCCATAGTTCAGGTAATGCACCAGACTTATTGACTCATCGAGACGCCCCTTTCAGTTTAGTGGTAGGTCCTCATAGTCCTAATGCAAAACTTCTTTACCAATTTACCCATGTCATTTATTGCATGGAGAAATACAATTGGGTCTCCCCGCTTCAGCTGCAATCACTTAATCAACCTAGAACTGCATATTATGTAACAGCATACATTGTTGAGTGTATGAGCTGTTGTCTTAACTGAGGACTAAGAATGATCGACAATTGTACCCACCAAACAGGTGAAACCAGACTCTGTCGGCTCATTTACCAATTGATGCAGATTGACTGTTCACTTCTTGCCTTGTTAAATTCAAAGGAAGAAGCTTTATGTTAATTTTAGTTCTCTGATGAAACCTGTAAAATTCTCATCTCTGATCATACCCTAAAAAATATTATAGGGAATATTTAAGCAGTAATTTCCAAGCTCCGTTTTCCTTCTCTCTCTTGCAATCAATTTAGTGGCAATTGTCATCTTAGCATGGAGAAAGTGCGGCCTGTCTACTTGCACCACTTACTACCTGGAGGCCTTGGCAGCAGCAGATCTACTAGCCATCTTCACTTCTGTCATATTGTATCAGCTTAGGTCTTATTATTTCCCTGTATTATTTCTGGACGTCACTCCTGTGTGTAATATTATACTTATCCTTCTTTATGTAAGCACTGAATGTTCTGTCTGGTTTTTTGTCGCTTTCTCGTTTGATCGATTTGTAGCCATTTGTTGCCAGAAGTGGAAAACAAAATATTGCACTGGTAAAACTGCGGTTGTGGCTCTGTCGATAATATTCATTCTGATATGTTTTAAAAATGTCCCCTTCTACTTCACAATTGAACGTAGAGAGGTCATTGATGGTGTTCCTTGGTTCTGTAAGGAAAAGTCAAGCTATTACGCAGATCCTGCGTGGGTGACATTTGACAGGTTTGATAAGATTTTCACACCATAAATCCCATATGCTTTAATTCTTTTAGCCAATGTACTCACAATCAGTCACATTTTATTGAAGAGTCAGGTCCATAAGAGACTAAGGAGTCAAAGTACTGGAAGAAACTGCATTGATGCAGAGATTGAGAGCAGAAGGAATTCTGCAATTCTATTCTTCACCATATCTGGCAGTTTCATTCTCCTTTGTTTTTCATTTGTTATAGACCACTTATGTTGTATTATTGCAGGAATTATTCATGAAATTTACGAAAATTCGTTGAACATCTTTGCAGATGTTGGAGTCATGTTGGTGGATTTAAGTTGCTGCACACGTGCATTTATTTATGGCGCCACTCAGCCAAAGTTTAGGGAACAATTCAAGAATGCTGTGAAATATTTGCGTATATCAATTGTTCACTTTCTAATCAAGAGCAAGGTGCCCTGTGTTTCCAGTAACATTTATCCCCATATCACCAGAAGTTTCCATAGGTAGAACGTGAGATGTGCTAGTGGAGAGGGAACCGCGAGGCAGGATTCTGGGCAGTTAACAAGAGTAGGGAGGTTGTTGGAGGTGTTTCTGTGCTCCTGCTAAAGGACGTAAAGGAAAGGAGTCACCGCAGTCACTCCTCCTTGTCTAGTACTTATATCCTTTGGAAAGGAAAATATTTGTTTAAAAATAAAGAAGAAAGTATAGATGCATAAAACCAATTGCATCAATTTTTTGTTGTTTCGCGCTATTTCCGACGATATTTGATTGAATGTGCCTCCATTTCATTCTCTCGTCTGGCTTTGGCAGTGCTGGAATTTAAAGGAGTGTTAGGCCTGTATCCTTATGACCAGTCACATCCTGGTGTCTCTCCCTCTCTCTCCCTCTATATTATTTCTATCTCTTTTCTTTCATGTTCTAACTTCATGGGGAAGTCTGAGTGGTGTCAGTGGTTTGTTGGCATCAG